GATTAATTTTAACTGCTGTGTAGTATTCCACTGTATACATATTCTACAAATTGTATATCCATTCTCCTGTTAATGGACTGGAGGTCATATCTTATTTTGTGCTGTTATAAATAATCCTGCTGTGAACATTCCCGTACATGTCTCCTGGTACATACGTACAAGAATTTTCCTAGAAGTGAAATTACTGGGTCATAGCATTTGCTCATGTTTAACTTTTCCAGAAAAAAGCCACATTTTGTTCCCCAAAATTTTACCTTCACACCAACAGTATATGTGAGAGTTTCTATTGCGTCATATCATCACCATTACCAGAATGATCATTTTCCCTCATTTTTAGCCAATCTGGTATGTGTAAAATAGTATAAAACTTGTGGTTTTAAGTGAAATTCCATTACTGCTAAGAGGTTCAACATCTTCTGATATGTTTATAGGCCATTCATGTTTTGTTTTGTTTTTGATGTTTACTTATATCTTTTACCCATTTTTTCTGCCCATTGTTTTATCAAATTCTTTGTCTTGTTGTTGTTTATTTTTAGAGTTATTTATTTTTTGCTACTGATCTCTTGTTACTTATCCATGCTACAAATGTCTTTTCCAAGTTTGTAGCTTGTCTTTTATCTCTCTTTATGGCTAATTGAAGTTCATAATTTTAATATAATAAAATGTATCACATTTTTTATTGATGGCTTGAATTTGCATATATAATTTTTGAGATTTTCCCATACTTCAAGAAAATATATCAATACATCTTCCTATACTTTCTTTTAACTTAATGCCTTGTTTTGTTTTTACTTTTTAAGTCCCTGAAGCATCTGGTATTGATATTTTGGAATTGTATTAAATAGGGATAATTTCCAGTTTTTTTTGTAATCAATACCAACTACATCAGCAACATCTTAAAATAATCTATCTATTCTCTAACTATATGAAATGGCTGCTCTTTCTTACATCAGATATTTGCTCATGTGGAATCTGTTCTAGGTTTCTTTTTTTTTGTCTTATTGGAATACTTAGCTCTACACCAATACCATGCTACCCCCTTTAAAACACAACATCAGGAGATTGTTTTATTAATAAGACTCGAGTCACATAGTACTGGTCTCAATAGTTATACTTTTGCTGTGTTCATCATTATACTTTCCTAATACTAAAATTTATTCCTGATTTCCCATTTGAAATCCTCTTCTTCTCCTTCCTACTTCCTCATTGTCTAAATTGAACTCAGATTCTACTTCCACTAGTAATCATCTATCTAGCTTAGATCTCTTTGAACCAAACTTGATGAACATTCTTGAGCTCTGAACCATGACATTTTCCAATTTCGGGCTGGCACCCAGGACACCAACCTTGGCTTTATAAATAGGATTAAACAAAAAGCATGTCTTGATGTACCAGGTAAGTCAGTCCCAGGTCTCTCACATTCTAGTTTTCCTGGTGCTTAAACTTCCCCAAACCATCACCCTGACACTGTATCAGTACTAGTTTGAGTTCATTCAGTCAGCATCATCTATGATTCGGGCAGTGATCTTATAATTTACTATCCAAACTGAACAAGTGAAAGGAGATGCTAGTAATAATTATTCATAATATAAATATGAATATGAAGACTCTCCTAACCGACAGAGATACATGGTCATATGTGTCATGCAATCTGTGGTCTAGACATACCCTATTGATATCAAATCTACTGGTTCAGGCCCATAAATCTTTTTTCCCAGTAATTTCCATGACAGAATATGTAAATTGAGTCCAAAAAACAATGCCACTTTTCTAACAACTATAAATTGTCTCCAAATATTTTTCTGATGTTACATAACTGAATAAATTCAAAGGGACTATATTTTTAAATTCTGCATACTGGCTTCTCCTGAATGATCCTGACATGTACTAGTAGATCAAGTGATAGATATCTGACTCACACATTTAGGTACCGAAATGTAAAGTGATAAAGGCAGTCAGGCTTGGTGGCTAAGCATAACACAAAATCTAGTGCAGTGCTAAAATCAAGGGATGAAAAATGCCTGACTATTGCCATTTCATATAAATTTAGACCCACAATTAAAAATGACTAGACTTTGGGGGGCCGGCCCGGTGGCACAAGCGGTTAAGTGCACGGGCTCCGCTGCGGTGGCCCAGGGTTCGCTAGTTCAGATCCTGGGAGCACACGGACGCTCTGCTTGTAGAGACATGCCGTGGCGACGTCCCATATAAAGTGGAGGAAGATGGGCATGGATGTTAGCCCAGGGCCAGTCTTCCTCAGCAAAAGGAGGAGGATTGGCAGATGTTAGCTCAGGGCCAATCTTCCTCACACACACACAAAAAAAATGACCAGATTTTGGCCCTGTCTTGTTCTGGTGCCTTTTTTGTTCAATCTTCCAACTGGCCACAGGCTGGTTGAACATGCATATGAAATATATGATCAGAGCTCCATGGTCCTTGATATGAGGAATGAAGTGATGTACGGCAGTGCTTTCCAAGGTCTTGAGGAACACTGGTCCTTGAAATATTCTTTGAAAATCAGGGGGTAATGTGTCAAATATATTTGCTAAGCATCGTCTACTACGTTGCCTCTTGAAGATTCACCAAGAAGAGCGTTAAAGATCTGAAATGCCTTGGAGTCTAAAAATCTACCTGTTTGATCCTCTTCCTGCTTGGAAATGGCTAACCATATTGTCAACCCCCATGTCACTAATCAATGTATGGGGAGGCTGGTGCGGTGGACTGCAGGGAGGGAATTGGGTGTGTTGAGTAATTTTTTGTGTGTACTATGATAAAAAGAATCTGTGTTGACTTGCAGAAATTGTAAATCTGGGTTTGGCATTCATTCTTGGTCCAAGGCACCCTTCCTCCATCCACATAATCCTGATACATAACTTTATACGTGGAGGCATAGTAGTTCTTCATCATTGAACATGAAAGGTTTTCCTTTTCTTCAAGTTGATGGTACCATGAGAACCTCCACCCTGAATTGATTCAGGTCCCAAGCTTGTCTGTATCCTCTAGCATTCTTCCTATAGTGATTTTGGTTCCCTCAGAACCTAGAGTAAAAGTTTCCACACCACAAACTCAATTCACATACTAGTTATTTCCTTTAATTGACTGCTAATGACAAATTAACTTTTACTTTTACCATAGACTTGCTCTAACACTGTCAATTTCACCTATCCTTTTTAATTCAATGCCATGGAATTATATCACATGAATACTTAATTTATGTTAATTAAACTATACATCTCACTCTCTCATTTGCTCTCATAATTTAAGATAACATAAAATCATATCCCAAATTTTCAGGCTATATACACAAAACAATGTGCACCATAATATATGGATGATTTAAGGAATTTTCAAAAGTATTTGTAATGATATGCAATTTTCACCCTAGGCATTAACTTTATAAATAGCCCATTGTATATAGCAGCTATGTAAAAGTTCTTCTGTTGTTTGGTTTCAAGAACAAAAAATAGTTCTTAGTCGGGGAAATGGACGGTCACACTGTTAGTAGAGAATTTAAACAATTTATGAATTATCACTAATTAATTTTTGTATTGAGAGATAATGCCCATGTCAAGTCCAAATCTCTCAACCATATACAGAGTTGAATATTAATTCTTTTGAAACTTTCATATTGAGTCTAAGATGATCTGGCAACCTAATTTGCTAATTTCCTTCAAAAGATGCTGATCTCTTCAAAACTTGATTGGATACTGTGTTTCACAGATAGCAGAACTTACAGAGTTTTCTTTTTTATTTTTTTTTACTGCAAATGAATATTTTTATCTATATGTCACATTTTTCTAGGAAGAAATGTTCATTTTCAGAGTAATCTTCAATCTAAAATTCTCTACCAGTGCTGCAAAATTATCAGTTTTGTTTTATATGTGTTCTTGATTATGCATTTCTACAGACTAAGGAGTAGCATACTAAAGACTCCATGATATAGAGTTCTAATCAGCTTTACATTCAACTAAGAATTTTCATGGAAATATAAATGAAATTTTAGATTCATGTTAAACTTCTCTTTCAAAGTCTATGATTTCTATGTGAACATTTCCAACGGTAATTTTTTTGAAAAATGTATTCCCAACAAGCTACTCAGTATTATATTTTCCAATTTCTCTCCGGTATAACCACCAGTGATACATTCTGTCTCAAAAACCCAGCACCAAATAAAACATAAATTTGTTTTATGTATTAGTAACATCTTTAATACTTATGCAGCTCTAACCCCAAAGAAAAATATAAACATATTATATCATGCGTAGAACTGAGGTTTAACCATATATCCTATACACAAAGCTTAGAGAAGCTAAACACATAATTTTTCTAAAATCAAATTCATGCAATTATGCCAAAATACTTTTCAATAATGACACTCTGTTAGGTATTTCATTGAATTGAGAAACACCTACAAAGAAATCAGCATTTCTCCCTAAGCATACTGTCAAAGCTACCATTAATGCAAATGCTGTGGTATTTTGGAATATCAGTCAATATTTCATAATCTGGGTACAAAAACTTTAAAAGGAAATTATGACATTGCGAGAGCAGCAGTTAATAAAATTGTTGGGGGCTTCATTTCATTAAAGACACAGTGACTTTCACTGGTAGACAAATTATGTTGCCTACTGGTTTGATTCAGTGATCAGTCAATAGGAAAATTAAGTCTGATGGGTTTGAGAAACTGGTGAGATCACTTGTCATACTGCAAAATGGGAAACAAAAGTACAAACAATTCAAAAAAGGGGTTATGGTCTGAACAAATTAACATTAACAAATGAAAGCTCTATTGATAAATTTTAATAAGAATGAACTCACAGAAAAGACAAGAATGAGGAATTATGCATATTATTTCAACACAACAAATAATCATAGAAAGAAACATTTGGTAAGCCAGCCTCAAAAATTAGCGTTAGCATTGTCTATGGCAGAAAACTCAAGTGAGTAGCTGCTGAAAGATGCTCATTCATTTTTTTTTTTTTAAGTTTTATGCAACATACTTGCTTTTACTTGTTTTTCACTTGGAGCTGTTAAGAACAGGAAATAACAACATCTAAATTAATTATGTCTACTTATCTCTCTCTAAAATAATTTTAAGGTTATTTTGTTTAAAAGACTATATCATAAAAAATCGATCTGAGAAAGAGAGAATACAACTCTGCCATTTTTTTCTGAATATACTTTAAATATATGCCATGAACCATAAACTTTTTCTATTTAATATTCATATACCTTTTACCAACGCAGAATGCTCATTCATTTTGTTTTCCGTTTTTAATTATCTAAGAATCTGAGCCAATACATTTTCCTTAAAGGTTATGAAGTAGTATGAAAATAAAGAAGTGAATTGATAAATTATCCAATGGTTTCAGTTTTAAAAATACAGCTAATTACTGCTAATTTCCTACACTATAATCACACCGTGAAATGAACAGATAATGATTTCAAGCAATTTAAAGTATTGTATTTTGTCAGGTTCAATATTAGACAATAACGTTTAGCTATTAAAACTTGAAATTTGTTGTTTGCTCCTTTCATCCAATAAACCATTATCAAGTGCCCACTGTGTGCCTGGGCATTATAATGGGCACTCTTGGGATCGAGAGATAAAAAATCATCTTTATCCTCTAATTTCTGACTTTTAAAGTGAAAAAAAGAAAAGGTAGCGATTATAACAGTATATTAAGTGCTATTATAAAGGATAGAAAATGATGCTATGGGAACTAGCTGGAGAGAGAGCTAAATGGATTTGGATTGTCTGAGGAAGTTTTAGAAACTTGGAAGAAGAATAAGAAATGTGGCTTCGAACCTGTGGTCTGTGGCAGGAGTGGGAGCATAGATGAGCTATATTTGCTTGGTTATTGACATAATATTGAGTAAATGCTATTTCCACTTAAATACAATAAAGTGGGAAGAGCAACTAATGGACATTATGTGACCACCTACACACACACACACACACACACACACACAAGAAAAGTCAAAGAAGTTCCTTGAGTAGAAGTTTCCCAAGCACAATCAACAGGAGATATTTTAAAATGAAGTCAACAAAAAAAGTTTCAGAAACTTGCATTTATTTTCATAGGAAACAACTCAGAGGCAGGTTAAAAGTTAGAAACCTTTAAGAAAACGATTTGGTGTCTATACTAACTGCATTTTTAGTTTATTTGTTTGTATGTTTGTTTTTCTGGTTGTCTGGTTCTCAATTCAATTTTTTCCCATTATAACATAAATATATTGAGGACAAAATCTGCCTCTGCTGTCACTGCAACTCCCCTGAGTACTCAAGAAATGTAACATTATGAATATGGAGAGAAGATTTGCTGGAATTGAATATTCCATTTTTTAAAAGCAAAGCAATGTCAGATGAATTTACAGAAAATGTTTTGTTCCTGTTTTGTTTTTATTCTTGTTTCCCTTTCTGTTTTTTTTGTTTGTTTGTTTCACTAAACTGTAAAACAGTGCTTCTCATCAGTGCCTAGATGAGTCCGCTGGGCTCTTAGGAAGTTGCAGGTTCTGGTTCAGTAGGTTTGGGTGGGACCAGAGATTCTGCATTTCTAAGAATCTCTCAGCTGATCCTGATGCTGCTGGTTGGCAGAACACACATTCAGTAGTAAAAGTGTAACATATTATTTAGCTTCCATTTTCTAAAGCCGCATTGGTGTTAACTCCATGTCAAGAACTTGGAAAAAGACTGAAATGAAAGGATTCCCTGGGCTTTCCTGTCACGGCCCTCTGCCTGTCTGGGGCACAGCATTAATTAAACGTTGGACATCGGGTGGAAAAAATCCAGCAACAGCAGTCTGACTCACCTGAATGTTCCTTCTTTGGTGACTTTGCTGTATCAACCAAAAAAGGGAAAAAATTAAAATCCGTGCCTTTATTGCAATTCAGTATTCAATTGCAAATTAAATAACATTGTGAAATTAAGAGGATAGAGGAATTTAAAAACAGTTACTTGGTTCCACGTGTTTTTCTTTTTTTTCCTGTTCTGAAACATATTGTTATTTTTATTATTATTATCAGTATTATTATTATTCCAATTTTATATGTCACAAGTTAATTTTTGCAACACAAAGAAACATGTATGTGCTAATGCTGGATTGCAGCAACTAATGATAACTGTTATGGAAAGAATAAGATGGTATACTTAAAACAAGTTTCCTTCTATTTCTCCTCATAGAGTTCCTTCACACAATAGCATGAAAATATTCTGAATATTAGAGGAATTAAAATTTTTCATGGATAATAAACCAGAAAAATAAAACAGGGTCTATAAAGGAGAGAAGAAATTTAAATTTGCCGTCATATTAGGTCAACATGAAATAAATTTGGGATAAAAAATAAGCACTAAGAATAATTTATTGCAGCTGTTTTAAAATAATTCTCAGATGAAGATGGAGAGGTGTCATATGGACTTCCTCTTCTAAGGTGAAATCTTATATTGAAGAGATATTTGTTTAGCTAAAACAAAGGCTTCGCTGAGGCGGATTTAAGACACTAAATAAAATTAAGAATTTTCAGGGGGAAGCAAAACACACTTCCCTTGTTTTTAGGACAAATGCTCCTTAAAGAGTCCTTTTTAGACAGTGTTTTTTTTAAGAACCCACTTTTGTCAATATTGTATGAGCCAAAGCATTATTCTGGCCTCAAGATTAAGGTGGCGTTGATATTATAATAAGCACTAATTTTATACAGAGTGCTATTATCCACATTCCTAGTCTTATTTATTATGCCTTGACAAGCTTGTCAAATTAATTTAAAAGATTTTCAAGAAGTGCTTTAACATAGACATATTATTATCCAATTTTTTAAAAAAAAAGAATGGAGAGATTTCTTCAAGTTTCGTATAACAAATACATTTTGGAGAATAGAAGATGTTTTTGCTGAAAGAATTTTAAGAACTACATTTTAGAAACATAGAGTGCCATCGAATCTTCTGTGGTCATCTCATCAATCTCTCAAGTGTACAATTTTGTTTATCAGGATTGTAGTTAAGAAGGTATAAGGAGCAATTATCCACTCCCGAGATAGCACGCAGGCAGTAAAACAAATAAAACAAATGGCTTGACCAAGCGTCACAAGTCAAAAGGAAGAAGCTTAGGTGACTTAACTAAATTAAACGTAGTAAGAACATTACCAAAATTTGTCTGGAAAACATGGAGCAATTTAATGTATTGTTTAATTTATTGCTGACCTGAAGTACCAATTATAAAACATTTCTAAGATATTTGTAAAGTGATGACAGTCAAAAACAAAAACAGGAAGCAGATTTGGGTATGCATCAAAATCAAACACCAGCTATATCTGAGATTTCAAAGTTAAAATAAGGGCTTTCGATCATATCAAAGCAATCATATAAGCAGAAAAATACCTGTGCTAATTTGGAACAAAATGCAAGAAAAGGCTGTCAAGAGTATTCATTGTATGGGATAATTCAGGATATAATTATGAATTACCCTTAATAAATATAAATTATTTTACCCTTTATAGTCTACAGGACTGCCACATCATGCCCATGATTGATTTTTTGAGGATTTTTTTTTTACTTTTTATTTTGAAAAATTATAGACTACAAGAATTTGGAAAAATATGTCAAGAAAGTCTCATGTTTTCTCTTCACCCTGTTTCCCCTACCATAACTTATTTTTCTACTAAAAAAAGAAAAACCTCTTAAGTTGTGATACCTAGAAAAGTAAAACAAAATAAGAATAGAGGGTTGGAAAAGTATAATTGAATGAAGCAATCTTAAAGACAAAAAAACTAAATCAAACAAATTCAAAGATACAATAATAAAAGCAAGTCTAGATAAACCAGAGCAATTGGTTAACTTGAAAAGAATTAATAATTGCTTTGAAGAAAACTCTTTTTCTTCTCTCTATTACTGCCCAAGTCACAATGCACAGACCTTCCGGACAAGGGAAGCAGTTGTGATGTAAATGAACGTCTGAGAAGGCATGTCTATTTATTAAATACATCATTGTGCTGAAGATTGCCAAGGAGCCACAGTGTGCCTGCAGGAACTTTTAAATCATATAGACTGCAATTAAATGAGCGCCTTATATTTGTATACATACATTATTTAACACTGTTTTTCAAATCTCCGGTTGTCCTCCATTTTCCTGCTGGTGCACTGGTTTATAGAGTGGTTTCTGTATTAGTGTGCCAATGCTCATCAGCAGCTGTGCACACTCATAAATCTGGGACTGAAGGAACACGTATTCTTTCTCTGTAGATAGATTGCTCCCCCTAGCTGAGTTGTATGATAATTTCATGATTCTCTCCACAGGACATTTTAGAGCATTTTTAAGACATAGAATGAACAATGCCCTAACCTTTTGCAGGACCAAAACGTACATAATATTTTTAAAAATTGGTGCATATTTTAAAACAGATGTTTTTAATATCACTAGGAACTTTAAAAGCTCTACATTCCTGGAAATGTGATTTTTTTAAATGGCTAGTTGAGTAGGGTTAAGTTTTTTGTTTGTTTCCATTTGTTCAATATATCCTATTTTCTTCAGAGGAGAATATGTATTCACAAAAGACACAACCCCAAGGCATCAAGCTTTACTGAATTGTTAGCAAACAGCTTTAATACTGTGTGTTAAAATGGCAGTGGATGATGCCTGAGATATGGATCCCAAGCAATGCTATTACCCACAGCTCATAGTGCTCATGGAGGAAAATCATGTTACGGACAAAATGTCGTGTATCATGTGAACATGACAAAATATTTATGTATTACAAGAAGAAAGATAATAGGAAAAAGGTTATAAAACTAGCCTGAAAAAGAATTTCTATCCAGTCTTTTCTAAGGACTGAGAACTAACTAGATTACAGGGACTAAATTTACACTAAGATAATAGGGCTTGGGTTGATGGAATGCAGTGGTATTTTTGCTTATGAGGCTGTGGATAATATTATTAGATGATTGCATGAATTTTAAACAGGACTCTAAGAATGATTGTCATGCTTTTTAGTCCACTTTGACCCCCCAGGATGTGTATTCTTTCATTCCAGCAAAAAACAACGAATAGAGTTAACATTCATAAAACACAGAAAAAGGAGATTTAAAATTGCAAGTCTAAGTATACCAGCAGGCCAATACTAGTAAAGAGAAAAAAAATACACACAAATATACTCTGCATGCATTTCCTTACTTTTTCCCTTGGGTTGTTCTGTTGAAAGAAATATAAACAGAAAAACCATTGCTCTTAAAACATTTAACGATAAAATTTACTACCCCAATGTATTTATTAGACTATAATTTTTCCAACCCTCTACGTTGTCTCCCTTTAAATTTCACAGTGAATGGTGCTCTGAGGTATTATCAGTTATCATAGATGTTTCCATAATTTGATTGTAAAACATTGATAATGAATTAACCTAAGATTATACTGTTTAACCATTTTTAGTGAGTTATACCTTCCAGTCTTTTTAGACACATGTGAAGAAGTAAACATATTGTACACATAAATGCATATAGACAAATACAGAAAAAACAGGTGTACTTGCTGGTTGAGTTATGCTTCTGTTCAAGACTTAAAGGAATGGTTCAGTTCCTAATTGATGCTGGTGTATCCAAGAGTAATTGAATTTGTGCCTTCTAGCAAAATAAATGCTTGATACTGAGCATTGTTCAATTTCTTATCAAGCAAACATTTCTTTGAAAACAATTACTGTGAAAGGTTATGCAGTATTTACTTTTTATTACTGCCAAATGTTTCTCATGGCAGTATTGTCAGAAAAGGTTTGATTCTTTCTCTCTCTCTCTCTGTCCCATATTTAGTTTTTTTTCTTCTATGTTAATGCTTTAAGAAAGAATGCTGTTTGGGGGTTCATAAATATAAGATGGAAAAAGAAAATATTTCCAATACCTTCTGTGGGTGTTTTTGTTTTCTTGGAATCTGAAAACACAAAGATAAATTATTGACAAAGCAGATATGATAAATCAACAACCGATTAGCTTGCAATAAAATGTCCAAACACTCTGAAATAATTTTCAAAAAAATTGATTGATTACATGATATATTACTAGAATATGGGGCTTAAGGAGATATTATTCTGTTTTTGAGAAGATGATCACTAGCATGAGGCAGGAAGTGAGAAAATTTTTGAAGTAGGAAGAATATGAAAGAGAAAAATTTGAAAGAAAATATCTACATACAATTTGCACAGAGATTACATTGTGCCTATGAAACCTGATGACTTTTTAACAGAAAGTCAAACTGAGCGAGTATATGGTTTGTTTTTATAAAGACAGGTTGGAGTCAGTGAATGTAGTCTGCAGTTTCTTCTGCAGACTACTCAATCTAAAGAAGTTCAGGTGAACTGCACTGCACTATCCTTGAATAATCAAGACATTTCCAGTACAAACGTTCAATTATTCCTATTGTAATGGAAAAGAAACAGGTTGATGTTGGCTTACCAGTTACTGATGATCCATCATTATATTTAGTAACTGCTACGCGGTAAAGTGTATTCAGTGGTCAATACACATCTATTTTATTTTTAGTCTTTTAGATGTCCAGCCTAGATTTGAGAAATTTATTATTTTCTAGTATTTAGGTCATAAAACTGTCTGTTTCTATGATTTGAAAATAAAAAAAAGAGGTTTTTGACTTCATTTATTTTAGGAGGAAGGCATTTTAACTTAAATTTTTGCTTAGAATATTTTATTACTTATCTTCTGTGTGCTTTCTTTTACCCTTCTGTAGCTGAATTTTTGAAATTCTCTGAATATTACTGAAATTAGAATCATAATAATGAACTATGAATTGATTCTGCAAAAGGTAGATAAACTGTTTTCTGGCTGACAATGATCTGGCTTGGAACCTAAAACAATAGACATTCACTAATAATTTGCAAGTTAATGGATTTGCATGCCTTATAGTGATGTGGTGGTATGATTTTACTTCCACGATGAAATATGGACCTAAAATGTTTAAAGACGACAATGAGTGGGAGTCTATTCACAAAAGGCAGTTAGATGGTCAACTAAGTTGTCTTATGAAAAAATGGTAACTAATGGCAGGAACAGTGTGGTGGAAGTAACAACCCACTTCCATAGAAGAATAAGCTAGAAACACATTTTAGGAAAGCAACTTGGGAAAGAATCTAGAAAGTCATAAAAATGAACATGCTTTTTGATGTAGTAATTCCACTTCTAGATATCTGAAGAGAACAATGTGAAATTATTATAGAAATATATACAGGAAGATGCCTTTTTCATGACATTTACACCTCTCGATAATGGAAATATTAAACAGTACTCTGAATGGTAGGTGAGCTGTTAAAGAATTCATTATATATCCACATAATAGAAAAACAGTCATTAAATGATGTTTTTGCAACCTCTTCTTCGTGAATTTCTGATTTTTCTGTAATAGGGATGTGTTTCACGTATAAGGGAAAAACAAACCTTATTTTTAAAAATAATAGGTGTTTGGAAAACAACATTTATTTATTCAGTAAACATTTATTAAACACTATTGTGTCCTGCACAGCACAGTAGAAAGAATTTGAGACTAGATTTTTCTTAATACCCACCCCCCTGCCCCCCAAAAACAATCCTTTTCTTGCTATTGAGTTTCTCATCAGGAACATAGTTGAATAGGCTAAATTTGCTATCTAAAACATACGTGTCTGCAAGCAATTTTTCATTCATAAGTAATTATACTAATCAGGTAAGCAAGTAATTCAAATATATAGAAAAATATTATATAAAACAATTTATATAAGAACGTGATAAATATCATCTTACATACACCTAACTATATATTAATAATATGCAGTGGCCACTTCTATTTGAAGACACGGATTCTTATTGCACAACAGCTGAAAGTATGAAGTAGATAGATCAATGGCCATCATGAGTTATCAGTTAGTTTGCCTTCAGTATACTGGAGTAGGATTTCTGCCTGCCCAAGAGGTCATGTTGTCCTCACTGAGCAATCTTAAGCCCAGAATATAGCCAATATAGAAAACATAGGAAGATTATGGGAAGATCATGGTCATTCAGAAATACAATTGAAGATAAAGCTTGGGAAGAACGGTGGTACAGAGGATAAAATGTAGGGGATCAGGACAAGATTATTTCCAAATCCCTTTTCTCCAACTAGATGCTGGCATGAGGTAGGCATGGAAAGATAAATACAATATGTATATCTGTGGAATATCTGTTGTTTTTAATACACTTTCCTTCTCCCTAGTAATAAGCATTGATAATATAATATATTAGATATCAACCATACTGAAATGAAAGAATAAAAAATAATGTGATGCCTGGGATCAGATAAAGTATACCACTTATTGAAATAAAGTAAAATATTTAATGAAGCAGAAAGGTAAAAAATAACAAACCATGATCTAACCAAGCAGGTCTTTAAAAAAAGTTCAATATATTTCCTGTAACAACTGGGAGCTATAGTGACTTAAAATGTCATCATGAAATCTTGTCTTTTGGTGAGGAGTCAACAGAACAGTAGACTTACACAAGTAAAGTATCTGAGTAGACACAAAAATATAATCCTTGGACTTAAAAGATCACATACTGATCCTGAAAAGCTATTAGTACCAGCTGTTAATACTCATGCTATTAAACTTCATTATGCCCTCTCAGCATTCTGCTGAAATGGCTTAAAACTATTATAAAAGCTTACTTGGTGAATATACTTCCCTAAAGACCATCTGCTCAATAATCTGAACAACAGTCTTTTATTAAGAAAATCAAGGCCCACAGCAGCTGTGATTTAAAAGTAGTTATATGTTGGCAATCTATTCAATTCATCACTCACTCATATTTAGCAATGTATCAGGTATGGTCTATTATGTACATAAGTGATTCCAGAGGAAAATGAAATATCAATTGATATTGAAGTGAAAAATTAACTCTCTGGTAGTATAATAATGCATGTAACGAAGTACCTCATCTCATTTGTGGAACTTTCCTGATTGACACCTTTATTCAATGACAATACCAGATATTTGCTTTGTTTTTCAGCATGATTCATTTTCAGATCTCAATTCTGAAGCCCTGGAACTTGGGATTAATTCTCCTATGTATTCAACCCAACTTGCCTTTGCTCTAGTTATAGTAAACAATACATGTCATCTGGCTAGTTCTCAATGGGACTGTATCCTTCAGAAGATAACCCGTGTTGGAAAACCCACAGGCTTTCCAGTCCCTAGGAATTAATCAATGAAGCTAAGGTTAGATGAATGAGATCTACCTGGATCTGCTAGTGCAACACAAGTAACACTAGTGATCATGTACACCTAAGATGAAATTGTCAATAATCGGCTATGATTTCCCAGACCTAAAAACCTCATTAGAATGTAACTCCCAATAAAAAAAAATCCTTCTTTGCCTGAAATATGGAAAATTGAGTGCCTATTCATATATCTTGTAGCTCTTATATTTAAGAGTCCTAGATATTACTGATTCATTCACAGAATAAATATTTGTTGAACGATGTGAAAACTAAGGAAATGTGTTAGTCTCTGTACAGGATAAAAGTGAATTAGACATGGTCCCTTTAGTGAAAAGTCTTAAAGTCAATTAGGATAGAAGGAAAATGAATACAAGTAATATGAAGTACAAGGTGGCAAGAAATAAGTGATAGTAGGGAAATATGGATAAACTCTGATGGGAGATTATAAATGAAAGAGAAATTATATTTAATTGGGAGAATCAGACAGATGTCTTAGAGAAAGGGGAATTTATTCTGAGCCCTAAAAACATTCAATATTCATAGAAGGAAAAGGAAAGGGCAAGCTCTGTTATGATATCAGCAGAAACAAAGGCAAGACAGCACTTTGTATACGTAAATTGAGAGTAGCTTAATATAGATGATGTGTATGATACAGAGAGGAAGAAAGTGGGTGGGAGTATAGGGTAAAGGCTCCACCACGATGCCCTGGTGGCCTTGCCATATCCATATAGTCCATGCAGGAAAAGGTTTGAACCACAGCTAACATGAGTCTTGGCAGGATGCCTTTGATCCTTGCAGAACATGAGAGAATAGGAGGCCTGTGAGGAGCTGCTATGAGGCCATCTCCCACATGCCCCCCTATCTCTCCTGGAAGGCTGTCATGAGACAACTTCTCATCATCTCCTGGGTTCTCCTGCTTAGAACCCTTTGGAGTAGAGCTGCAGATTATAAAACCATTTGGCTGTGGCTTAGAATTGGCTCCTCAGCAATGAAGTGTCCCTAAGTTATGTTGCATTATCTGGCCTCTTCCTTTGGGTGTATCCTTTTTGATGTGTGAGACAAGGACCATGAAAAGCTGGCACCTTTAGATACTCTCACTTTTGCTGACCATAAAAGTGATGAATAGTCTCAATCTCAAAAGAACTCATTGTATCTTTACTGGCAGAATTATCCAGGCTTTGGCTTGGACTGTGCCTTGACGTACGTGTCACCAGAGGTCAGGAAACTGACTGTGGGGACTTGAATCGCGGGTTAAGGCCTGGAGACTATGTTCTGTTGTCAGTGAAGAACCATTGAATGTTTTAAATAGGTAATAACATGAAAAGTTTCATAAGCCAGTTAAGTGTTTTGGAAAAAAATATTTAGTGAAAATATTACAGGCAGGATAGTTATTTAGGTCAGAGATTCTCAAACTTTTTCATCTCAGGACTCCTTTAAATTCTTAACAATTATAAAGAACCCAAAACAGCTTTTATTTATGTAGGTTGTATCTATTGACATTTATAATTTTAAAAATGAAAGCTGATAAAATTTTAAAATATATATTTATTCATTTATTAAAAATAATAAGCCTATTACATGTTAACATATACAATGTATTCTTTATGACAAATACATTTTCCAATACAAAAAAAAATGGTGAGATGAGTGACTTTGTTTCACACTTTTGTGAATCTTATGAACGTCTAGCTTAATGAGAAGACAGTTGAATTTGCATATCTGCTTAAGTATTCAATCTGTTGCAGTATCATATATTGCGTAGCCTCTGGAAAATTCCAGTGCACACTCATGAGAAAATGAGAGTGAAAAAGGCAAATGATGACTTCATTTTTTTACAAAAATAGTTTTGACCTTCCAGAACCACTGAAAGCATCTCAGGGACACCCAGGAGTCTTTGACCACATTTTGAGAACCTCTGATTTTGGAAATCATTGCCTTGGCTCACATGAGAAGTTAGCACGACCAATGAGAGGTCACAAACTGCTGTGTGAGGTCGCAACTAGAGGACTGGAGGCTGTGAATGCAGATTAGTTTTTCTAATTACTTAATGAAGGATTAAAGAGAAGAGAGTTCAGCCAAATCAAAAAATCTAGAGAACTAAACGTCAGGGTCAGAGGCAAAACAGAGGTTGTAGCTTATGACTGAATTTGAGTCTTGGTGTTTGCAAGGAGTGGGGCGATTACGTAAGAAGAAATAAGAGAATAAACACATTTTTATAGAAAGAATTCAATTTAATTGGGACTTTGAGAACTTAATGAGAAGTAAGAATGTGTGCTAATAGATCACGAGGAAGGTGTGTGGAGGGGAGGAGTGGTGTTCAGGGGAAACTTCAGCAGAAAAAGGCTTGGCAAAGAAAGACCTCAGCTGAATATTTATTCAACAATGTCACTCCACTTGGGCTAAAATATGGTTGCTCTGATGTCAAAACTGCTAAGAACAGTAAAATTAACGGGCAAAGCTCAATGGAGCCAAGGGTCTCTCTTAAGGTTTCAGAAAGAGATTTGATGGGACAGGCTGGGATAAGATCTTAAAGTGAACGCAAATCTTCAGTGCCCACTACTGCGAGAAGCCCTTTGCAGCCCAATGCACAGATGATCTTTGATAATAAAGAAGTTGGTATGTACTTTTGTTTCTACATTTTAAAATTTACCAACAAAAGAACTTCTCACGAGCATTCTAATTAAATTCCTAAAACATTCCTGATTCACTTTTTCTCCAGGAAATTTGTCAACCATTAATATCTTTGAACTATACTGAAAGGTTTGAATGTGAGTAGAAATAAACTTTGTGCAAAACAAAATATTGAAAATCCAATTTTGGTGATTTGTCTTAAACTTGTCTCATTAAAGAAAAGTATGCTTTCTGCCCCTGTGGAAAAGAGTTTTATGATCTTTATTGAGATCATAGAAAATAAGAAGCAAGTACTAAGAAGCTTATGTCTATAAACATCTCTGTCCTGCTTAACAGGAGATACAGAAAGGTAAACAGGAATTCATGAACATAAAATCAAATGACTGCCTAGGATAGCTGAACAGGAAGCCTATTCTCCTATTATATGTTGAGAACAAGGAAAATCATTCTAGACAGCTATCTTTTTTCTTAAATATCATAATCTATAAATTTTAAAACTTTTTCTAAAAAGAGATAGATATAATCTATGATAGTCTTTGGAAATAATAATTTAACAATAACAATAATATTAATAAATAGCCAATGATGTGTTTTACATGTTTTACAGCTGGTAGTATACGTTGCTTTGAATGCCAATGAATGGAAAAACAACATTTCATATTACTCCTTTACCTAAACCAAATTGTAAATTGTTCTTTATTCCCAAGAAGAAATGATGGAGGAAAGAATAACATTTTTGAGGACTTACTGTCTGTCAAAAACTGTGCCAGGAACTTACTATGTCTTTTTGTTTGTAATACCTGTGTCTACTCACGACACCATTCATCACATAAATGATATAATTTCCAAAATACACTGAAAGATTTGCTTTGCCTATATGGGGAATTAACACTGATTTCAGTCTCTTGAAAATAAACACACTAATGCGTCAGTGGGCTTTAATAGGATACTATGGTTTTGCTCTCTCTGAACAAGTAATGACCAACTATAGTATTTTCTCCCTCTGGTGTCTGTCGACCCTTAGATTCCCGTTTAACAGAGGCAGAACATGACTCCCCAGCTATTATGATTATGTAAAGCTCTGATGATACTAAATATAAAATATAACACTTGCTTTCTTATTTTTTCTCAGATGATACGAACACTAAGTAGATTATAATTGTCATTTTTCAAAGTTGGAAGTGATTGCTTATACCTACGTGCTATTTTTACTGAGAAAATAAGCCTAGATTAATAAACAGTGGTGAGATCTAGAGGCCTGGCGTATGTGTTAGAAACATCTCTAAACAGAATCACAGTGACCGAAATGGCCCTAACCTTCACTTCAGCTTGACTAAACTCTAGACAGGTCTCTTCTTGACTGTAGGCCCCTAACCTCCCTTTTATTAGAGCATTTACTTTAGAAAACTTTTAATTGTAAGTTCATTCTCATTTCCTTTGAAATACAAATCTTCTACAACCAAAAACATCTTTCTCAAGACCTGTGAGATATCCCTTTGAAATGCAATCATCAAAGGAGATAGCGCCCCTGTTTCCAGTCTCTGTGGGAAGGCAGGAGCCTAACTTCAGCAAGCAGCAATTATCAAACCCAGATGCCCTAATCACATTGGCCACACCCCCACCTCATCCCCCGACTCCTGCCACAGACCTCCAGTACTTTTCCATTAGCTCATCTCAGAGCTTAAAACTCTCAGGCCGTTTGTTTCAGTGGAGTTGAGAGTTCAATTTCTCCTATTGTAACAGCCTTGCGCCCTATTGCAATCATCTTGAATAAAGTCTTCCTTGCCTGTTTAATTCCATCAAATGCAATTTTTCTTTGACAGCAGGGAGGATTTTACCATATCATGACATCCTGACAAAGGGAGGTGGCGTGCAGGGGGTGGACTACGATTTATTTGCAGCTTAGTCAAACAGAATAACATCAGTTGCTTGACAGTGTCGGAGATATAAGGAGTTAATATAGGAGAACCAGGTCTGTATTTTGCATATTTTTGAAATTTGATTAAACTGCTAATGGAATATGAGGGCTGGGATTTTGAGAGGTTATATTATATCCCCTATATCCTGAGAAAGACTAGATTAAATTTACTTAAAAAAAAGTAGTTCACCTTTTGTGGGAGGTGAGGTAGAAAAAAATGCATTTATGCAAAATGTATGCAGATAATAGCTCCAGTTATCCAAAGAGAAAATAGGCAAGATGGCAGTTGAAACCAAACTCTGAAAATTGGTAAATTGTTCACAAAAAAGCATAGTGGAATTTTTCATAAAACGTACCTTCTTTCTTCTCATCTTTTTTAACTGGTGCTGAAATAAGGGAAAAAATAGTCTTAAAACATGCTGAATGACCATTCCTCAGAATATGAGAATGTATTCCGTATATTCACAAATTCACTGGTTACCCATGCACTAATTAATCCATTCAAATCTGCGATAAGAGAATAACCTGAAAATATTATTTCATATGAAGATTTTTTTAAAACTCAAATATAAGCATATACCAAAATGAATAAAAAAATATATTGGGTTACAGAGACAAGAAGTCAAATTAATAAGTATGTGTTAATTATTTAAGTTCATTTTAGGTTTTAAATTGTTATATCTGAGAAAACTACAATCACTTCTAGAAGAATACTCTAGATTGATAAAAAAAAATGGAGGTGATATTCCATAAATCATCTGTGCCTTGCTACTGAGGAGCTATATGCCAGTGTGCAGTCTACATTTACATTTACAATAACAGGGCATAAAATGTCCCATTTCAGGAAGGGGCAATGAAAATCCCATCCTCTTTTTAACAAATATATGGCATCTTTTACACAGAGAAACATCACAGAACACTGTAATCCCCTTTGAATTGAGTCATGATGCACCTAATTCTTCATCATGACTCAATCTGAATCCAGGTTGTAGCTTACGTGAGCTACTGGAAGCATTTGGGGAAGGTGCTCAGCCAGCTTGGGATTGTTCCAGGCAAGATGACCCTTGGTTCTGTGTTCATTCAGGAGCCAAACCCATTCAGAGAAGCCTGGGGCCACACTGGTTGAATCAGAGATTGTGTGTGTACATCCCCTACGGTAATCCCATTGGAGTGGAATAGAATCTGGGGGACCACAGAACCAACATCCAAGACTACTGTGGGTGTTTTGCTACAATTGCCGAAACACTCATGTACATCCTCTCATTTGGTTTTCACAACAGCCTTCTAAGAAAGGCAGCCCAGTGGGACCGGCCCAGTGGCACAAGCGGTTGGATGCGTGCACTCTGCTTCGCCGGCCTGTGGTTCACAGGCCCGGATCCCCGGGTGCGCACCCAAAAACCGCTTGTTAAACCATGCCGTGGCGGCGTCCCATATAAAGCGGAGGAAGATGGGCACGGATGTCAGCCAGGGCCAATCTTCCTCAAGAAAAAAGGGGAGGATTGGCATCAGATATTAGCTCAGGGCTAGTCCTCCTCGCAGGAAAAAAAAAAAAAAAAAAGGCAGCCCAGACCAAGAAACCAAGCCTTAGAGACATTAAATGATTTGCACATGCTCACCTAGAGAGCAAGGAGTAGAATTGGGTCTAAAAATCAATAACAAAAGACTGAAAGGGAATATATTAAAATTCATTATTTTAAATTATTACAGGTGATTTTTCTTTATTTTCTAAAAGTTATTAATATGCTGTTACTTTTGCAGTAAAAAAGTAAATTACAAACAAATTCTACTTGGTGACATTTGTTTCTTTCTAACAGAAATTTAACTAAATATACAAAACGTATAGAGGATTTATATTTATAATGTGTTTAAGTTAAGAAATTCATCTTTCCAATGAGATAATGAGATGATGAGTAGAGTAATAAAGAAAACAACTAAAATGAATTAAAGGATATGACACTGCCTGACAGATTTCAAAGCCGCAACGCATAATTTCAGCAAGCTCTGTGGGTTTCACTCAATAGACTTGTTTGTAGTTAGTTCTTTACTTTACAAATAAGAATTTCCTTCCAGAAGCTTCATAATTTTTAAAATCTTTCAACACATATACATTTTGATTCTGGAATTCACTTAAATTTTTGCATTTTGCTTGGAGTTTGTACAATAAGGAAAAGAAGTGAAACAGTGGTGTTCATTTAGACATTAAAAAAGAGGTTTCTTGTTTCGTTTTTCTCCTGTAATTATCTTCACAATATTTACCATAATTTAAGTCATAACCTTTCTCAGACAAGTTGGGTCAAAGGGTGAGAGCAGAGGGCTCCTTAAAAAAATAAAAACAAAATAAACAAAATAAAACAATATAAAATCCTAAATTAAAAATTGCTGTGGTCCCTCCCAGGGTTTGGAGGGGTCTGGCAGGGGAGTGGCCCTAACACCTAAGTTTCCTCAGGTTTAGCAAAAAACTCTCTCCTTCTGAAGGGCAACCAATGCCAGAAAGAGGACAGAGAACGTGAATACATTCTGAAAAACCATTATCTCTTATGAACTCTTTTTTTTGAGAGGAAGATTAGCCCTGAGCTAACATCCAATGCCAATCCTCTTCTTTTTTGCTGAGGAAGACTGGCCCTGGGCTAACATCCATGCCCATCTTCCTCCACTTTATATGGGACGCTGCCACAGCATGGCTTGCCAAGTGGTGCATCGGTGCATGCCCGGGATCGGAACCTGCGAACCCCAGGCCACTGAAGCGGAGCGCGCCCCTAACCACTATACCACCAGGCTGGCCCCTCTTATGAATTCTTCAGAGAAGGATAACTCTGAAACTTAAAGCTCTTTAAGAATTGGCAAAATCTTTCACAGTTACGTTGAATTTTTTTAGTTTCTAAAATAATCCAAGAGGAACAATGTCCACGGGTGCACGTGTGTGTGCAGGCATGTGGGTACGTACACTCCCTTCCCTCTTTCCCATTCTTACATTCTTCAATAGTTTCAGCCCTCAACTTTACAGTAATAGGGAGAAGGAGTTTGACCTATTCCTTCATAACTGACACTGGCTTTGCTTCTTGCCCTGTGTCCCTTGAAGTTGGGTGGCTCTAATTCACTGCCATCTGGAAAGCCATGAGGTCGGTCAAGCTGGATTTCATGCCTAGAAGTTAATCAAAATCAGGTTTCGGGGTCTGTTTTCAGAACGATTTTGTAACTTTTGTTCATGTGTCCCACTGCAGGCCCTCATTTCTGCTCACCTGACTCTAATCTATTAAGCTGGATTTTGTGGCTAGATAACTCCCGAATTTACTGAGCAGACATGATTCTTAATTATTGGGCTCTTGGTTTTCACATTCTAATGAAACTGCAACGGCTAATATTTTAGTTATTTTGTTCTCTTTCTAACTGCTCTCTGTAATAAGTGCTAGACTTTTAATGTTTGCTTTAGAAGTCCAAAAGAAAAAAAATAAAAACCATTGGAAATATAGAAATATACTAACAGATGCACAGAGACCCACCTTTTAAGGCGAGTTCCATTATGGTTTCTGTCCTTTCTCTGGCGTTTCATTCTCAATAGATATCTGCCCAGCTAATGCACCTAACTGATTAAAAAATAATTTCTCTCTTCTTTCCTTTCTTTCCGATTTCGGTCTTTATTCCATTTCTGTGACACAATTTATTACATAATATCTGTGAACTAGGTTGATCCGCAATCTAAGTTCTAACTGGCTACAGAAAAATCGCTGCCTGGATGACCCTCCATCTGCTCAACATAAACCTGCCCAAAGTGAGCCTTCGTCTCTGCCCTTAAGCTATTCCTTCCCCTGGGACTTCTTATTTCTGACAATTATAATCATCGTATTCATCCAGGCTCAAAAGCTCAGTCCCACTTTCACTCTTTCCTTTGTTTCATTCTGTATATTCTATCAAGTATTAGTGCTTCAAAATGTTCACCTTATTTGTATTTTTCTCTAATGTCATTGGCACCATCCTAGCTGAGGTCATTATCTCATGGCTTGGTAATGACAACAACCTTTCATGATTATCACTAACTCTTTATATTTACTTAAGCCACCTACCCACTAGCAATGCTTTCTTCCTCTGCCGGTTCATTTTTCAGTCATGCTCCAAGCCTAAGTCATCCATGAGGAATCCCTCAACCTCCAGCTCTCACGGCATTATCTCCACAGTTCAACTCAGTACTACATGATAGTCTATTTATGTTATTACTTAAATTTCTGTCTTCAAATTGTAATTTCCCGTCATGTAGAGACTTTTATTTCATAGTCTTCTCAGTGCCTCAAGACCCTTTGTTAAAAAATTTTTAAATGTATTTCCAAAAAAAGCATGCTAAATCTTAATTATAATTAAATATGTACATATAAAGAATTTACAAAAAACTAGAATTTAAATATTTCATTTGTTATAAAAGTAAAAAAGTAAACATATGTATTCTAACCTTTTACCACACTACAAACATTATTATCAATTTTGGCACTTTATACCTCATAAATATCAGTCTCTGCCATAACAATGTTGCCAATTATGTTTAAGCTGTCTCCACATGGAGTACTTACAAATATTGGTTAATTCTATACATAATTTAATTATGTAGTGGTTTTTATAAAATCTGTCTACGAAAGATCTACGAAGTGTGTGCGCAACACCAGTGACATTTATCTCTTGTGATTTGATGTCATTGCAATTTAGTGAACATGTACATATAGCCCCTAACACTTGCCTTGTACACTGTGCTTAATCAACACTTTCATCTAATTTCCTTAAAAGGATAGTTCTAAAAAGTCTTTGAAACTCTAGGTTACTATTCACTCAACAACAAATCCTTTATTCTGAAAGAATAAATTCTGAGGTTGCTTTGTCCAAGGTAGTTGGAATGGAAAAATGAAGAGCCCATGGCCTCAAGCTCAAATTTGAAGCACATTTCCCGATATCTCTTCAGTTTCCTCTCCTTGAACTCCTCTAATATGAAGCTGAACTAACACTAAATTCCAGCCTTGAGTTCCACATCTGCTATGACCCTCAGAAGCCTCAGTCAAAACAGAAGTGTCTTAGGGCGATTGTGTTCTTTATATGAACATATATACAGTAACTTCAATGATTCCTTGAATGAGTAGTCATTCACTTGAGGAATTCACTCTGAGCTGCATTTTCATGAATAGAAAACACAAAGTAATATTTGCCCTGCCTTTCTACTGCCCACAATATTTGTTATTTCCCTATCAGAATTCTTCTAAAGAATCAGTTTTCTTGAACAACCTGATGATCAAATGAAAACTAAAAACTTGTGTCATAGTTCGTAACCATTCTAGAATATATTGCTTATAAACAACATCATTGGTTTCAAATGGCATTCAGTCAACCCACTTTACCAATATTTACTAGGATGATTCTGCATATAGTCGGGTCCAGGATTAAACATAACAGAAAAATTTTGTTCAGATGCAATCACATTATATGCGGAGGAATCTGCTACAAGGGCCTTATGCCCAGAAACAAATGTACCACCACCTAAATACATCTCCTTTATTGGTCAATATCGTCTAACGCAGCATACGAGAGAAAATGAAGACTTTCTCCAGGAAATATTTTACCTTTTGTTTCCTGAGTCTGTTCTGTCAATTGTTCATAGGTGACAAAGGCCGAACACTTGTACCCTTTCTTTACGCTTTCATCAAATTACTCATGGTTTGAGAATAAAGTTTGCATAACTCATTGTATTCCATTCTGTGGACTTGAGGACACTTGAGTTAGAATAGCATTCTCAAAGGATGTGATTTCAGGTGGTTGTTAAAAAATAACTTTAGGGGCCAGCCTGGTGGTGCAAGTGGTTAAGTGTGCGCGCTCTGCTGCGGCAGCCCAGGGTTCGCCGGTTCGGATCCCAGGCGCGCACTGACGCACCGCTTAGCTAGCCATGCTGTGGCAGCGTCCCATATAAGGTGGAGGAGGATGGGCACAGATGTTAGCCCAGGGCCAGTCTTCCTCAGCAAAAAAGAGGAGGATTGGCATTGGATGTCAGCTCAGGGCTGATCTTCCTCACAAAAAATAAAAATAAATAAAAAAAAATAACTTTATAGGAAAATTATTTTAAAGAAGTATTTTTCCCAAAACTGATAACTTGAGGGATCCATATTTTTTCTGAAGGTCCCTTAAAGAAAACCACTCTTTATGCCCCAAAGATATTAGTAAGTGATGAAACACATTTTCTCAGATGGCTTATGAAAACTAGGGTAATTTCTTTGTGGTCATAGCTGGACTCTGACTTTTGCAATCTTGGTATATAGAGGAAGTAATATTAATTTAATAAAATTCTGACTGATTTTATAATCTGACACAAATTACAAGATATAACTGAAAATATTGGAAAACTTGTATGTTTATCTCTATTTATCTATTTATCCATTTATCAATCAATCTATAGTTCATTTTTGGAAATATAAGTAAAAACTCAGTAACTGAAACTTGGAGTCAAGATACTAATTCTTGGGTTCTTCAGTGGTTCCTCTGCAAATCTGGCATTACTCTCAGTCATGCTTTCTCCAATTACTAAATAAATACTTGAAATGTGTGTCTTCATGCAACAACGTAATGTTTTCTACAATAACCCAGCAGATGGTGCTATTCTGCAATAAACAGCTTTTGCTTTTGTGAATAAAGAGCTATGTACGTTAAAAAAAAAAAAGGGTAATTGAATTTTTAAAGCATTTTATTGCTTACCTTGTGTTGCAACTTTTATAGTCCCTTGCTTGGTTTCAGGGGCTTTGCCTGGTTCTTATAAAGAAAAAAGATAAATAAATTACCATGAAATACTATTTCAGAAAGATATATCACAACGAAAAAAACGAAAACAAAAACAAACATAAAAAACACTGCCCTTGGCACTCCGAATTTTTAAGAAGTGAACACAATTATTAGAAGAATCGCTGAGAATTCGGCTGACTGAGAGTAAAACAAAACTATTGAATCAAATAAAAGCACAAAGTAAAGTTTCCCAAAACTGTTTTGCTTCACTGTTGACTGACCATGGAACACTTGGCATTTGTTTAGCACCTGAATTTGAAAATCTCAGAAGTCTTTGTAAATTATTTCTGTATGATCAAGCCCTTTGAAATGGGTGGAGCGTTTAGACATCAATAAAGCGGCTCATTGAAGGTCACTGAGCGACTAACATGAGAATAAATCTCAGAACAACCAATTTCCAGCCCCAGTCTTTGACTTAGCATACCATTCCCTACATTGCTCTTGTGCCCATCACCATGATTGTGGCCTAGGCAACAATATGTGTGGTGAAAGAATGAGCAAGTTTCGTTTTGAGTCTTTCTTCCCTCTCAGGTTTTCTGTTGTTGTTGCTTTTTTTCTCCCTTTGTTCGGAATGTTCTCTTTGAAGAAACAAGATACAAAAAAACACTTATATGATAAACACTTAAATAAATTATTTAATTAAGTTGCATGAAAAATAAAGGAGAAATAAAGATTTTAAAAAACAATGGCTCATTTCACATTTCACTAAATAATTGTTCATCGTCGTCTTTAAGTTTTCAATAATTGAATTATCATTTAATAATATAGGGAGGAAGATTTGGTCGTTTGTTTTAGATATTGATCTTTGTTCTTTCATTCATCACATATTTATTTAGGACCTATTATGGGTATATACTAAGCTAGGTGTAAATGTAGTAGTTGATAAACATATATATTCAATCTCTCATTTAACTGTCATCAAATATTGATTATGACTTGTTTAATATTACAATTCTAGTTAGAGTTATAAAATTACAAGATTGCATCAGAATAACTTGGCAAAGAATCATAAGCAAAGATTCCATGTTTTTTTGGCCAAATAAAAGAGGTTCAATTTCTAATTCAAGCTTTACCTTTTGTTGGTGAGATAATTGTTCATTTACATCATAACCAAGATTATGAAAATACTAATCTTTTATTCTCTTTTTATATAAAGGAAATATTGTTTGATTCACATATATGGTTTTCATTATTCTTATGTTTATTTCTTAAGACAAAAAGTCTTTTGCCAAAATTAAATTCATAGTCCCATTCTATGATCTCTTTATTACTAATATTCATTTTTTTCTGGAGGAAAACTCCACACAAACTATCATGCCAATGCTGCCTCTGTCACACTCAGAATAGATGGTTTCAATAAAGTATTAGTCAAGATTTATATATAGACAGTGAATTCTTAACTAATATATTTCTAAGCATTCTTCTAACCCTACACCTATATGACTAGCATTTAGTAGGCATGTAATAAATAATTAGTGAATGAAAAAATAGATGAAAGGGTGAAAGAATACATCAGAAAGATCACCAAAAGTACCCTAGACTGCTCAGTCATCTCACTCCTTAAAGATCTCAATACATCAAAGAATTGTGGAGCAGTTCCTGATTAAAAAAAAGAAAAGACTTATAACCACTGTCAGTAAAGTACCTTAGAATTTTTATAGCTGATTTTCTCTCATCTTCTCTTTTTCTTTATGTCCTCTTAGATCACTGATCCTGAACGATCCCTCCACTTCTAAGATTCTATTGAATCGCCCAGTACACCCAGTTGTGAATTATAGTGAAGTTTTCTTAGGATCTTATTACTTCTCCCAGTGATCGTTCAGTTTCTCTGTCAGTTGCTTTCTCTCTCAGTGCTCAGAGTGCAGATCGTGCCCCTGACTGTCCAGCATTCCCCATTTGATAACCTGACAAGGTGAAGGACTGGTCATCTCTCAACAGAGTCACAACCTCACTAACCTTACCCTGTGTCTGTTTGGCTGTGTGCACACTGAGTGGGCATATTTTAAGGGCTCACGTCCTATGGACTCTTCTTGCTGCTATGCCTTAGTTCCTCCCCCCAAAAAACAAAAGTCCACCGAACCACTAACGCACAATGATGCATTAAAGATACAGTTCCAGGTAAAAGGTGTTATTTTAAAGGAGTAGTTCTACAATGTCCACACACAAAGGAATGATTTTAATGGAGCTAACTCTCAGGATCATAGCAGTGAGATATTTGTGCCTCATAACTCCATCTGTTCTTTCTCTGACCCCAAGATTTTAGGTCAACTCATATTAATTCACAAACTATTATGTGAACTACGTCTCAGTCGATATTAACAGTTTAAAACCAAATGCTTTTCAACGAGTCTGCCAACTTGCATCCACCCAACAAAAATATCAGCCTCAAATCCATTGAGGACACATGCAGAGGTGATCAGATTTGATATCTGCTTGTGTACAACATTTCAGTTGTCAAAATCACAAGGCTTTAAGGAGGGAGTCAACTCGGAGACCATAAATGTACATTAAGAAGGCCACTCCAAAAATTGCACGAGAGTGAAAACACATCAAGTCTTTACAGGCAAATTTTCATTATAAATAATTTTTCTGCCTCCTTTTCATTACTGCCAACTGCAAATGAAACTAACTTTTTATTAGGAAAATTTTCATATATACTCGAAAATAAAGAAGAAAGTCTAATGAGCTCCATGTCTCAACACCCATTCAACAATTACCAGGTGATGCCAATCTTATTTCCTCTATATTACTCACTTTCTTCACTCCACACATCCCAAATGAGAATTTTATTACATCAAATGATTTTATCTTTTTCCAAGTTTTTATTTGATAACTGTATAGTAATATTTTTGAAATAAAATACAGTGATTTAAATAAAAACACTGGCCGATAAGAAACTTCAATTAAAGATTATAATAATTCTGAAATTGATAAGTAATATTTTGGACTGTAAAATCAGTGACAGGATGGACCTAGATTAAAATGTCAGCATAATCCACTTGGGGATGTTTTAGCAGGAAATTATCAGAGAAGTTCTCATTCCTAGGTTCCTGAAACATGTTGTATTTATGTAAACAAATTGTCGTGAATCAGATAAGCCAAATGTTTCCATCTCTTCTGATTCCATAGTAATAGAACAGTCTCATTTACAAAATAGAAAAAATATGGTGAGCGCAAATATTTTGTTAAGGAATCAAGTTTTGCATACAGGTTTAAATATTAATTTAATATCATGAACTTTCATCTATAGGACTTTGTTTAAACTCTGACTTCTTTTAACATAGAGTATAAACCAACTGAGCTTTCAAATGTAGGTTTCTCCTAACTTTAACAGCAAATGGAATGCTACATTGTGTCAGTATTGGTCTTTGGCTGACGGACAGCAGATGCAGAATAACAGTATTGTGAGAATCCTACTTACCTTTTAAATATTTTTTAAGCAATTCCCCATATCCTCCCAAAAATAAATCACTGCATTTACAATGTTTTTATTTTTTAAATAAGTTGGGAGAGATCATTTGCTCCTTCAAAAGTAACAAAGAACAATCCCTCAATAACATATAAGTCCAGTCCCTACACTTCAGCAAACAACAGCAAAATAAATAAGAAAGATGCCTCCCAGCTGAAGAAAAGTGTCCATGAGAGAGAGGAAAATCTTACTGAGGCAGGAGAGCAAGTACTAGCAGGTGTTTAAGTAGGTAATGGCTTCTGATGACACAGTCTTCATCCTGGTCATCTCTCAATACCCAGCCCACTGGACTCAGCAGTACAGATTTCTATTTCAATGTGTAATCGTATTTTAATTATTTACTTAATGCAACTATATCTTCCTACTTATCTATAAACTCTCTGAGATAACTGACTGTTGTTTATTCAACTTCATAACACTAGCACCTAGCAAACTGCTGGGAAAATTGTCTCTAATAAACATGGAAGGAATTGATTGCATAAAAAATCTAATTATAAAAGTGACAGAAAATCCAACTGACCAGTTTGAAATGAAACATTAAATTTAGGAATCTGTTTCATTTTTAAGACCATACAAAAATTCAAACTCTTTTCCTCTTTGATCATTGATCACACATTATGCAGAAAGTGTTTTACTTTAAGTTTCAGATCAGAACTTGATTTTTACTAGAATATACTGTGACTCTGATTGCATTTGGGAATTTTGCAGAATTTCACGATTTCATACAAATTTCCAATTAATTTGCATGGATTAGGAAACATAGGTCTGTTTTAAGGATATGACATGAACCTAAACATTTCTTTAGGATTAAATTATGAATCAATTTTCTTTTATTAATTTTCCAAAAAGAACACAGAAACTTTTTCTAAAAGTCATCTCTTGCTAATTCTGCAATAGTATAAAGCATTTACACTGTTCTTAGGTGAGAAAACTAAATATAGAAAAGCTGAATGACTTTTCCACAAACCAGGAGAGAAATTATTTTTTGGTTCAGCAGCTAAACTTTGAGCCAGCAATATAAAACCTCCTTTATTCCTCAAAATTTATGTTTCCAGAGAAGATGCCAGAAACTAATGACAAATTATCCTGCACTCCAGTGAGCTGCTAAATCAAGCTCTAAATTATTATATTCTATTCCTATAAAATCCAGTATTATTTTTAGATGTAGATACTCTCCAAATAAAGAAAGGTTAACAGTTAAGCTGAAAGTTACTATATGCTTAAAAGCTCTTAAGCTAAGCCTCTTGTACTTGTAGCTCCAGGAAAGCATATTTCAGGGGCATTGCTTCATTTCCGTATGATAATTACCCTGTTGAGATGAAATTAATCATGAAGAAGCCTTCGGCCATCCTGTCTGACCAAGGGGCCTGAAGCCTGAAAGGAGGGCCTATTTGCTGCCAGATATGCAAATTGCACAAGGTGCACAATGCCGACATATGAATAATTTATCAAAATAATCTGTTATTGCTAGAGGTTAAAAATCTAAATAAACTGGCAGCCT